TCCTAATTTCAGCAGAAGAATCCAGATCACCAAAATAAAAGCCCAAATCCAGGACATAGAAGACAAAAAGATAATATAAAAAATCAATGAAACAAAAGCTGCTTTTTTGAAAGAATAAACAAGATCGATGTTCCCCTAGCTAGACTGACCAAGAAAAAATGAGAAGAAAACCAAATAAGTACAATCAGAAACACAAAAGATGAAGTCACATCTGACCCTGAAGAAATACAAAAGATCATTAGACACTACTACATACACTTGTATGGAAACAAACTTGAAAACCTTAAGGAAATGGAGGACTTTCTGACATCACACAACCTACCTAAGTTGGAACAAGAAGAAATTGAGACCCTAAATAGACCAATAACAATCAAGGAAATTGACTACGTAATAAGAAAACTTCCTACAAAAAAAAAGCCCTGGACCAGATGGCTTTCCAGCAGAATTCTACAAGATATTTAAAGAGGAGCTGATACCAATCCTACTAAAGGTATTCCAGGGGATTGAAAAAGATGGAACACTTCCCAAATCATTTTACGAAGCCACCATCACATTGATACCCAAGCCAGATAAAGATCCAACAAAGAAAGAGAACTACAGGCCAATATCTTTGATGAACATAGATGCTAAAATTCTCAACAAGATCCTAGCAACCCGGATTCAGCAATACATCTCAAAAATCATCCATCATGACCAAGTAGGCTTCATTCCTGGGATGCAACGCTGGTTCAACATTCGTAAAACCATAAATGTTATTAAATACATCAACAGATGTCAAAACAAACACCACATGATTATATCATTAAATGCAGAAAAAGCTTTTGATAAAATCCAGCACCCCTTCTTGATAAAAAGCCTTGAACATCTAGGCATACGGGGAACATACCTCAAAATAGTAAAAGCCATCTACGAGAAACCCACAGCGAGCATACTCCTAAATGGACAAAAATTAGAACCATTTCCCCTGAAAACTGGAACAAGACAAGGATGCCCACTCTCACCCTTTCTGTTCAACATAGTTATTGGAAAGTCCTGCTCAAGCAATCAGA